CTGAACTAGAACTGAACTAGAACTGAACTAGAATGAACTGAACTAGAACTGAACTAGAACTGAACTAGAACTGAAGAACTGAACTAGAACTGAACTAGAACTGAAAGAACTGAACTAGAACTGAACTAGAACTGAACTAGAACTGAACTAGAACTGAACTAGAACTGAACTAGAACTGAACTAGAACTGAACTAGAACTGAACTAGAACTGAACTAGAACTGAACTAGAACTGAACTAGAACTGAAACTAGAACTGAAACTAGAACTGAACTAGAACTGAACTAGAACTGAACTAGAACTGAACTAGAACTGAACTAGAACTGAACTAGAACTGAACTAGAACTGAACTAGAACTGAACTAGAACTGAACTAGAACTGAACTAGAACTGAACTAGAACTGAACTAGAACTGAACTAGAACTGAACTAGAACTGAACTAGAACTGAACTAGAACTGAACTAGAACTGAACTAGAACTGAACTAGAACTGAACTAGAACTGAACTAGAACTGAACTAGAACTGAACTAGAACTGAACTAGAACTGAACTAGAACTGAACTAGAACTGAACTAGAACTGAACTAGAACTGAACTAGAACTGAACTGAAAGAACTAGAACGAACTGAACTAGAACTGAACTAGAACTGAACTAGAACTGAACTAGAACTAGAACTGAACTAGAACTAGAACTGAACTAGAACTGAACTAGAACTGAACTAGAACTGAACTAGAACTGAACTAGAACTGAACTAGAACTGAACTAGAACTGAACTAGAACTGAACTAGAACTGAACTAGAACTGAACTAGAACTGAACTAGAACTGAACTAGAACTGAACTAGAACTGAACTAGAACTGAACTAGAACTGAACTAGAACTGAACTAGAACTGAACTAGAACTGAACTAGAACTGAACTAGAACTGAACTAGAACTGAACTAGAACTGAACTAGAACTGAACTAGAACTGAACTAGAACTGAACTAGAACTGAACTAGAACTGAACTAGAACTGAACTAGAACTGAACTAGAACTGAACTAGAACTGAACTAAAACTGAACTAGAACTGAACTAGAACTGAACTAGAACTGAACTAGAACTGAACTAGAACTGAACTAGAACTGAACTAGAACTGAACTAGAACTGAACTAGAACTGATCTAGAACTGATCTAGAACAGATCTAGAACTGATCTAGAACTGAACTAGAACTGAACTAGAACTGAACTATGACTGAACTAGAACTGAACTAAAACTAAAATAAAACTGAATTATAACTGAACTGAACTACACCCGAACTAGAACTTAATTAGAACTGAATTAGAACAAAGCTAGATCTAAATTAGAAATGTAATAAAAACTAGAAAAGTTATTGAAATTTTTATAAAATTAGAAAATTTATTAGAAAATTTCTAAAAATTTAAAAACATAAACAAGTAAGAAAGTATAGTCGGGCGTGGCTGACCATATGATACCCTACACCAGTTATGAATATTAAATGTGATTTATTTTTCATAATAAAGCATTTATCTTCAATATTCCCTTGTTCCGATACATTTAAACAATTTATGGATGAAAAACTAATTTTCTGAAAGAGGCTTTATATGGGGGCTAGGGGCAAATATGGACCAAGCCTGATAAAATTTTGTGAATATATTTATATTTACATAATATTTTATTGTGCTGAATTTCATCGCGATATTTGTGTTTATAAGTTAATTTGGGACATTCAAGTAATTTTCTGAAGAGGACTTTGTATGGGAGCTAGGGTCAAATGGGGCCCGATCTTTATGAAATTTGGCAGGGTCATCAAGACTTCTATAAAACATAGTTGTGCCGTATTTTATCGATATATCTGTATATTTAACATAATTATGAGCTCAGAAGCCCTTTTCGGGGGGTTCTGTTCAATGGGGGCTAGGTGAAATAATGGACCGATTTTAACCATTTTCAATATCGTCCTTGGGTCAAATAAAACGTGCGTGCCAAATTTCATCCAATTATCTTGAAAATTGCGACCTGTACCTTGCGCACAAGGTTTACATGGACAGCCAGCCAGCCAGACGGACGGACATAGCTTAATCGACTCAGAAAACGATTCTAAGCCGATTGGTATACTTTAAATTCAGTCTAGGACGAATATTTTTGTATGTTACAAATATCAGCACAAATCCAATATACCCTGCCCACTAAAGTGGTGTAGGGTATAAAAATTTTCTACATGTTAAAGAAACTAGAAAATTAATGCCCGATTTCAGAGTTTAAGTTAATATTGAAAACTTTAGCATTAAAAATTATCTTTAAGATGATTTTTTTCTACCTGATACAATTTATTTTCTATAACTATAACATTTAGATATGCTTCCCTTTAACATTATTTTTTTTTTTTTGTTTGGTGAACGTACCAACCAACGATTTATTTATATGACTGAATATGAGTGAGGGCACATTGAGTTTATATTTATTTATATTTGTTTGTATTATTATTACTCGTTTTTATCATTATTACTCAAAAACTTGGTTTTTGTCGCGTTTGCTGTTTTTTTTTCGTTGAAGTACTTTACAAGTGCACTTTAAGTGCAAATGTACCCAAAAAATAAAAGACAATGTAGATATTTTTGAAATCATCATAGAGTGACGTATACAAACAAATGTATTTTGTGTTTGTTTGTATTTTGTTTACCTTTATTTTTGGCATATTTAATATTTTTAGAAGCTAAAATAATAATTCTCATCTAGAGCAATTGTTATACATATTTAAAATGTCACTTTTATTGTTTTTATTTTGTGCGTTTCAAAAGATACATAATAATTTTCATTTAAAATGGTTTTTTCTATCTACGGGAGAGTGCAATTGTTATTACAAAAATATTTATGAGTTGGTAAAATAGTTTTTGATTTTTAGTTTTATTTTATCTTTCAGTATGTCTTTTTTTCATTAAGTAGATAAAATGTGAAAAAGTTTGAATAGCAGTCAATAAAAACAAAAAAATAATATTGGACACATGACTAATTAATATTGCAGAATAGGTAGGTATGTGTTTTATGATGAGAAAACTATGATTCATTGCCAACATCATGAAGTATTTCAGTATTAGGAAATATTTTATTTACTAAACTATAACTAAATTCCAACTGAACTAGAATTGAAATAGAACTGAACTAGAATTGAAATAGAACTGAAATAGTACTGAACTAGAATTGAACTAGAACTGAACTAGAACTGAACTAGAACTGAACTAGAACTGAACTAGAACTGAACTAGAACTGAAATAGAACTGAACTAGAACTGAACTAGAACTGAACTAGAACTGAACTAGAACTGAACTAGAACTGAACTAGAACTGAACTAGAACTGAACTAGAACTGAACTAGAACTGAACTAGAACTGAACTAGAACTGAACTAGAACTGAACTAGAACTGAACTAGAACTGAACTAGAACTGAACTAGAACTGAACTAGAACTGAACTAGAACTGAACTAGAACTGAACTAGAACTGAACTAGAACTGAACTAGAACTGAACTAGAACTGAACTAGAACTGAACTAGAAACTGAACTAGAACTGAACTAGAACTGAACTAGAACTAGAACTGAACTAGAACTGAACTAGAACTGAACTAGAACTGAACTAGAACTGAACTAGAACTGAACTAGAACTGGACTAGTACTGAACTAGAACTGAACTAGAACTGAACTAGAACTGAACTAGAACAGAACTAGAACTGAACTAGAACTGAACTAGAACTGAACTAGAACTGAACTAGAACTGAACTAGAACTGGACTAGTACTGAACTAGAACGAACTAGAACTGAACTAGAACAGAACTAGAATTGAAATAGAACTGAAATAGTACTGAACTAGAATTGAACTAGAACTGAACTAGAACTGACTAGAACTGAACTAGAACTGAACTAGAACTGAACTAGAACTGAACTAGAACGAACTAGAACTGAACTAGAACTGAACTAGAACTGAACTAGAACTGAACTAGAACTGAACTAGAACTGAACTAGAACTGAACTAGAACTGAACTAGAACTGAACTAGAACTGAACTAGAACTGAACTAGAACTGAACTAGAACTGAACTAGAACTGAACTAGAACTGAACTAGAACTGAACTAGAACTGAACTAGAACTGAACTAGAACTGAACTAGAACTGAACTAGAACTGAACTAGAACTGAACTAGAACTGAACTAGAACTGAACTAGAACTGAACTAGAACTGAACTAGAACTGAACTAGAACTGAACTAGAACTGAACTAGAACTGAACTAGAACTGAACTAGAACTGAACTAGAACTGAACTAGAACTGAACTAGAACTGAACTAGAACTGAACTAGAACTGAACTAGAACTGAACTAGAACTGAACTAGAACTAAACTAGAACTGAACTAGAACTGAACTAGAACTGAACTAGAACTGAACTAGAACTGAACTAGAACTGAACTAGAACTGAAATAGTACTGAACTAGAACTGAACTAGAACTGAACTAGAACTGAACTAGAACTAGAACTGAAATAGTACTGAACTAGAACTGAACTAGAACTGAACTAGAACTGAACTAGAACTGAACTAGAACTGAACTAGAACTGAACTAGAACTGAACTAGAACTGAACTAGAACTGAACTAGAACTGAACTAGAACTGAACTAGAACTGAACTAGAACTGAACTAGAACTAAACTAGAACTAAACTAGAACTGAACTAGAACTGATCTAATACTGAACTAGAACTAAACTATTAAAACTACATAGGTATTTCCCAAATATTAAGATTTGTTTAAAATATTACACACAATACATTTCATTTACTTAATTTCCATAACCCACTCAAAACCGGTTTAAACAATGACTGGTTTTATTAAAGTGGAGCATTAAAAACTTTTCGACAAACTAAAAAAAATATTTAATAATGCATTAACAAGAAATAATTTTATAAATTTTCTAAATGAAAACTTTTTATTAATAAAAATGTTTTAAAATAAATTAAAAAATAATTACCTTTCTCTATTAATACTGACAAATTATATTTAAATAGAACGCAAAAAAAATTAAAACAAATATTTTGTTTATAAAACTATAAAATTTGTTTATAATTTTTTAAAAAAAGTTAAAATTTTAATTTAAAATTTTTAAGGGGGTCACCCCAAACAAAAAAAAAACGAAAACTGCTGCAACAACAAAAAGCTGTTCGAAAAATAGTTTACACACAATTTTTCAATGTTACTTTTTTAACAATTTATTTATTTTTACATTTTCTATAAAAAAAATCATTTCTTCTTCTGGTGTAATATTGTGTTTTAATTTTCTTTTTTGTTAATTTTTCCACACTTTTATGTTTGGTTTTGTTTGCTCACAGCGATTACCACACTTTTACACCAACAATCATCATTCTCTCTTAGAAATGACAATTTGTTGTTATCAATTTCTGTATTTTTCTTTTGACGGATTTATTTATTAAATTTATTAACTTTTTCTGGCACTTATTAAGAGAATAATTAAATTTTATGTTTATAATTAAGTGGATTTTTTTTCTTTTTTGGAGGACAACACTTTTTTCCCGAAATTTGTTTTTCTTTTCTGATTGACTACTACTTTATCTACACTAGCAAACAGGGTTGCATAAATGTGTAGTATATTGTCAAGTTAGCGATTAAATGTGTAATGCTAGCGATTTTGTAAATATGTACTTGAATTTATCTTTATTGTATAAAAAGTTGTCTACCCCGCAAACTAAACTTACGAATAACAACAAAGACACCAACATTTGTAGGGAATTTCCCTAATTGAATCGTAAACTTTTTAAGTCTGGCACAATTAGGCTTGCCAGATGTGCTGCTTTAATCAGTACACTTATAGGGTTCTATAGTTGAAACAAAAAGTCAACTTTACGACTGACTTTTTGTAATTTATGGAATCTGGACTTTTTGCCCTTTTTCAATTTACGAAAAGTAAATTTGTCATTATTTTTTTTATTTTTGGCATTTAGCTTGAGTATTTTCAATCCGTGTTAAAATACATTTATCTGGTTGATCTGGCTTGTCAATTATACAACGCAAAAGAGAAATATCTGTTGAAACAAATGACTGCTTATCGACAGCGTTGTCAACTTTAAAATTTCAAAAAGCACCAAATTGAAGAACAAAACGCGTATTTATCGTAAAAATGCACTAAGAAAAATATTAAAAAAAAAAAATTGTTTATATGTACTATAAGAAATTCTAATTCTAACAATCGACTTTTTGTCGAAAAGTCGAAGTCGACTATTTTGTTCCAAAAAAGTCGATAACTCGACTATCGCCTGTGAAAAAAGTCGACTTTCTTAATAAAAGTCGAAAAGTCTGAATGTCGAAAAAAATCGATAAGTCGGAAAAAGTCGAAAAGTCGTAAAAAGTCAAAAAGTCGGAAAAAATCGAAAAAAGTCGGAAAAAGTCGAAAACTCGAAAATTGTAGAAACAAGTCAAAATAGTCGAAAATTTTAAAAAAGTGGAAGAAAAAGTCAAAAACTCTAAAAAAGTCGAAAAGTCGGAAAAGGTCGAAAAGTCGACTATTTATAAAATACTTATAGTCGAAAAGTCTAAAAGTCGACATTTAATTAAATGAAAAAAGTCGAAAAATCGACTTTTTATAAAATGTAAAAAGTCGACTTTTAACTAAATGAAAAAAGTCGAAAAGTCGACTTTTCGTTTCAACTATAGAACCCTAGTCGGAAGTCAACTTTTTTTTATAATTTATTGATTATAAGAAAGCATTGAAAACATAAAATACCTATTCTAATAAGCCATAATATTTAAGACGATTGATTTGCATTTTTTACAATATGCAAAATTTAATGAAATTTATCTGTAATTGTTATTTAAAATTAACAATCCGTTCGATTTGAATGTATATTAATAATAATGGTACTGGCAATACCGGTATCCATTATAACATTTCTGATTACAACCTCTGTAAGCACATATTGCTGTGCGACATATACGAGAACTGCAAATTGCTTCAGACAGCGAACACTTAACATTGTTTGGACTATTAAGGTTTATAAAAATATGGACAATATCTTGTTTATCCAAGAGATTAGAACGAGCAGGACCTTCGGCAAACTCTTGTGGTGTCATAGTTAGGAAACGAATTCTTCTGACGGCTTCTTTTAACCACTTCTCATTTTCGCAATTTATAGAATGATCAATTTCGGAAGAGTTTTGAGTACTATTCTGTTCTGTATTCGGTGGATCTTTATCTTTTAACAGTTCCTTTTTAATAGCTAAACGCCGTAAAGCATTAAACAAATCCAATTCAGTATTAATATTTAATTTATCTTGATCCAAAATGAACACCATTGTGGACATTTTAATGTCGCTAAAACTGGCATCAGCCAAAACTTCTCTAGTGCGATCTGAAATAAACTAAATTAACCAATACGATAAGTTTTCCGCTGATAAGTTTGGATTTTTTTATAATTTAATCTTAGGCACTCACCTCTGAACATTTCTGCTTTAAACTTGGTTCATCGAAAAATTCAGAAAATTCAAAAATTTGGCAAACATTTTGTGGATTTAAATTTGCACTCAAAAATACAATACATTTTTCCATTAATTGTTTTAGCAGATATTTCTTTGCTGCATAGTATAACTGTAAAGCCAGATCCACTGACTTAATATCAATGCAACCCGAATAAATGTATTTTAACATGGATTGAAAAACCTCAACCTGAATATCAGTTATAACAATTGGATCATCTTTTTCTGCCATCGAACCATAAAACATTCGCTCAAATACGGGTGAAGCCGCTAACAAAATTATTTTATGCGCTGAAATTGTTATTTGATTTTGTTCTGAATCAACAATAACAAAATGGCAGTCGGTAAACTTTTTGGCATCAAACAAATGAAATAGGCGATCTTTGTGATCTTGAAATTTATGTTGCCAATCAGATTCCATTGCTCGATGAATATTTTAAAATATTTACAGTTTATATTATAAAAAAACAAAAGACAAGCTATTTTATCTCCAATGATTGTAAGAACTGCGAATACTTTACGAATAACAAAAACGCCAAATATAAAGGGAATGTCCCTAATTCTTGGGTATTTCTTAAATTGTTTTACAACAAACACCTACGCAAGATATATTAGTTATCAAGGTATATTTATTTTATAAGGTAGTGTTAACAAAACAGCTGACTATTTTTTGCTCACATTCATGTTTTTTCGCCGCGGTGTAGAGTTAATGTCAAACTTTGTTTACGTTTGGTTAATGTATGCAAAATGTCAAAGTTTGTTTATATTTTTAATTTGACATTTAAAAGTGTGCTTTTAAAAGTAAAACTAGATTTATAATCAAATTGTGAAAAATTGTGAGTGATAAAAGTGTTATTATTGTGAAATTAAAAAAAAAAGCAATGCGTTGTTGCAAAATATGTGGGAAGAAAGTGGAGGCTGGAGGTGGGACATTTTTTAATGTGCCCAAAGACATTCAAAAAAGAGAAAAATGGAGTGAGGTCTGCCAAATGACTCTAACCTCCAATGCACTTGAAAAGGCAATTATTTAAAATAATTATATCCATAAATAATTGTTGAGCCTTTGTGTCCTTCTGCTGCAAACAAGCCTTCCACTGATCAGCCGACAAACGTTATTTTAGCATTTTCTTGTCTAGACCGAAGAGTGTTCCTAATAGGGAAAATCATTAAACAACTTTCTAAACGCTGGACAAATTCTTTGGCTACTTACGAAGAATTTTAACAATTTTATTATATTTCAAAAAATCTTTTATTTACAAACAACTTTTTTTTTTTAATTTTTACAAATTCGCCTCATATTATAAATCAGCTGTTTTTGACATTGTGCCTACACCAGAATTCGCCTAAACAAAAACAAATACTGTACAGTGTTGTATTTCGATTCGCCCAAGTTTTTTTGAATTCGCCCTTAACACTACCTTATAAAATAAATATACCTTGAATATACCTTGTTAGTTATAAGGTAGTGTCGTCGGCGAATTCAGAAATACGAAGCGAATTCATTTTATTTTTTATATATGGAGTTTGACAGCATGCCTACACTTCAAAGTGCCAGCACACTGTCAAACTACATATAAAAAAAAATCAAAAGTGTATTAGCAAAAAATAATCAGCTGCTCTGTTAACACCAAGATATATTAATTATAAGGTAGTGTTAACAGAGCAGCTGATTATTTTTTGCTAATACACTTTTGATTTTTTTTATATGTAGTTTGACAGTGTGCTGGCACTTTGAAGTGTAGGCATGCTGTCAAACTCCATATATAAAAAATAAAATGAATTCGCTTCGTATTTCTGAATTCGCCGACGACACTACCTTATAATTAATATATCTTGGTTAACACTACCTTATAATTAATATATCTTGCACTTACGCTTACAAAAACCGCAGGCAATTTGTTATTGTTTAAGCTCACGATCTGTCAGAATTTGTCAGTATTCTTAGAGTGTGTGCCAATCGATAACAATTTACTTGAAAATGTAAATTTTGTGATAGATATGAGGTGAATAAAATTTAACTAGTTCATTGCATAGAGAAACATAGAGAGAAAACATAAAGCAAGATATATTAATTCTGTTAATCTGTTTTTCTGAATTCGCCGACGACACTACCTTATAATTAATATATCTTGGTTTAGACCATGGCGAAACTAATAAGGTGAAGTCATTCCAACAGCTGATTGTTTTTTTGTCCATGGAAATTTAGCCCGAACTTGTCAAACTCCATATAAAAAAATTCTATCTCAAACCCGACGCTGTCAAACTACATATATAAAAAATTTAATGAATTCGCCGCAAAATGAAATGACTTCAGCTCAAGATATATTAATTATAAGGTAGTGTCGTCGGCGAATTCAGAAATACGAAGCGATTTCATTTTATTTTTTATATATGGAGTTTGACAGCATGCCTACACTTCAAAGTGCCAGCACACTGTCAAACTACATATAAAAAAAATCAAAAGTTATTAGCAAAAAATAATCAGCTGCTCTGTTAACACTACCTTATAATTAATATATCTTGCTTCAGCTTATAGTCTATTCGCCTTGGTTTAGACAATCTCCGACTTTTCGATTTTTTCGACTTTTTGACTATTTTCGACTTCTTTCTACTTTTTTCCGACTATTTTTTGACTTTTTTCGAGTTTTTCCGACTATTTTAGAGTTTTTGACTTTTTTTTTCCACTTTTTTAAAATTTTCGACTTTTTACGACTTCTCGACTTTTTTCGACTTATCGACTTTTTTCGACTTTCAGACTTTTCGACTTTTATTCACAAAGTCGACTTTTCGACTTTTTTCATAGACGATAGTCGAGTTATCGACTTTTTTGGAACAAAATAGTCGACTTCGACTTTTCGACTTTTTTCGACAAAAAGTCGATTGTTCGATTATTCGAGAGTCGATTTATAGAACCCTACTGCAAACCCTTAATTATAAATTTTAAGTTTCTCTTTCTTTTGGAAACTGAATCTTCTCTTAAAGGTGGCATATTTGATATACTCTTATGTGTAATAAAATTCGAATGATTTGAAATCTACCGATTTGAAAGGGTGTGATGAATTTTGATCAAGAAATGGTTTTTATATACATGCAAAATACTACACAGACAACTATTAAAAATAATTAATTGAAAGAATAGATTAATGTTATGAAAATCATTCTACAGTTTTTCAATATCAAATAAAAAAATTGTTTTTGTCGATATGAAATGATTTTGTTTTTAAAAATTAATTTCATATGTAATTTTAAAAAGTAAAATGTTTATGTTCTCAGACAAAAATTTTTGTAATTGTGGTAAATAAATATAAGCCGATCTCAGCCGATTACCATGCCGGCGGCTGGATATAGAAAAAAACGTCGGCGGCGGCGCCAAGCCGGCTTGACTTGAACCTCTGGTGAACAGCCAATTGAATTTTCGTGTTGTAAAAAGCCATTAAAAATATAGAAAAAAACATCTTCAATATTTATTTATTTATGAGTTGTGTTAAATTTATAACTAAAATTTAATATAAATTTAGCTATGACTACTGCGGTCTTAAGCTAAGATTGGTCTAAACAGAAAATATATTCAATATTTATATTAATGCAATTAAATTGAAAAACTAAATTAATTATTATTAATTAATTAAAATTTTTTACACAAGTGTAAACTAATACAATAATAAAATGTAATTTCGTTTGTAGAGTTAGTAGACTAGGATTACGCATAACAATACCGTGATGGTCTAGTTAAAAAGATCATTGTCCTTTTGGTAAGAGAATCGGTAAATCCTTCCGGTAATTTATAATTCTGATTGTATGGACTACTTAGTTTAATAAGAATGGCCAAAGTTTCTTGTTTTTCCAAAAGTTTAGAATGTGCTGGTCCATTAGCAAACGTTTCTGGTGTCATAGTAAGAAAACGTATTTTTTTGATGGCTTTTTTTAGCAACAACATATCATTGGTCTGTTCTGCATTCTGCGTAGCTTTATTTTGTAATAGTCCCTTTTTAGTGGCTAAACGCTCTAAAGCATTAAACAAATCCAATTCAGTTACATGTTTTAATTTATCATGATCCAAAATGAACAGCATTGTGGACATTTTAATGTCAGTAAAATTGGGATCAGTCAAAACCTCTTTAGCGTCAGCTATAAGAAACTAAATTAACAAATACTTTAAGCTTTCCATTTTTAAACCGAGATTTTTCATTATAAAACTTGTCAATTTAATCTTAATTGCTTACCTCCGAACATTCCTTCTTTAAACTTGGTTCATCGTAAAATTCAGAAAATTCATAAATTTGGCTAAAAGTTTGTAGATTTACATTTGCACTCAAAAATATAACACATGCTTCCATTAAATGTTTTAACATATATTTCTTTGCGGCATAGTATAACTGGCAAGCCATTTCCACTGTGTCAAAATTAATGCAATCCGTATAAATGAATTCTATCATATTTTGAAAAGTTATAACATTAATGTCAGTTATAACAATTGTACCATCTTTTTCTGCCATCGGACCATAAAACATTTGCTGAAATACGGGTGAAGCCGCTACCAAAATTAGTTTATGAGCTAAAACTATTTTTTTATTTCCTTCTGGATCTTCAAAAACAAAACTGCAGTCGGTAAACATTTGTTCAACAATCAAATGCCATAGGCGATCTATTTGATGTTTATATTCATGTTGCCAAACGGACTCCGTTCCTGATTCCATTACTATTGAATATTCGATAAATATTTTTAAATATTTACAGTTTGATATTGTAAAAACCAATAGACAAGCTATTTTATCTCCAATGATTGTAAAAGCTGTGCTGAACTCACGAACCCAAAGTATATATATATACCAGGGATTGCTATTTCGTAGCACAATTTTGCTTACTAATAACACCAAAGTAAATTAATAAAGTAGCGACACGAGTTGTTGTACAACAAACGTCTACAAAAACCACAGGCAATTTGTTTTTGTTCGAAATACTCACTTGTCAAAATTTGTTTACAAAAATGAACCAATAATTAATGGAAAATATGGCATTATTGTTGTACTTTCCAAAAATATGTTGTTATTTATATTAAAAGTCACAGAGTTTTCTTTATTTTTTAAAAATTAGAACATTTTTAAAAATATTATACACTTAAAATACACTTTTTCACATTAAATACAACAAATTACTCAGAAATTTGTACAAAAGCAAGCGTTAAAATGAAAACAAATATGGCAACATAAACATTTTTGACAAGTAAGTCCACAAATAGCAAGTTTAAAAAAAATAGTCAGCTGTTCAAATGAGTCTACTTTATAAATTTACTTTGTTCTACAACATAATTTTTCGACATCCGTGATCTAATGCGTATTGCTTGTGGTATGAATCATTTCAAAAAGAAAAAAATCCCCGTATTATTATGTTGTATATTATGCTTGAAATTTTGCTAAAATGGAATAAAAGCATATATGTATGTATGTATGTTTGTAATTTGTGCACTTTATTTGGAATAAAAATAAAACTAAAAAAGCAAAAACACAAAAAAAAATTAATTTCTTTTTTACCTAATAGGTATTAAACAAAATAAATTACAATTTAAACCAAAGCATACATTTCTTAGTAAAAAACAAAAAAAAAAAAACTACACCACTTTAGTGGGGAGGGTATATTGGATTTGTGCTGATGTTTGTAACACCCAAAAATATTCGTCCTAGACCCACCTTAAAGTATACCAATCGGCTTAGAATCGTTTTCTGAGTCGATTAAGCTATGTCCGTCCGTCCGTCTGGCTGGCTGTCCATGTAAACCTTGTGCGCAAGGTACAGGTCGCAATTTTCAAGATAATTGGATGAAATTTGGCACGCACGTTTTATTTGACCTAAGGACCTAGCCCCCATTGAACAGAACCCCCCGAAAAGGGCTTCTGAGCTCATAATTATGTTAAATATACAGATATATCGATAAAATATGGCACAACTAAGTTTTATAGAAGTCTTGATGACCCTGCCAAATTTCATAAAGATCGGGCCACATTTGACCCTAGCTCCCATACAAAGTCCCCTTCAGAAAATTACTTGAATATCCCAAATTAGCTTATAAACATAAATATCGCGATGAAATTCAGCACAATAAAATATTATGTCAATATAAATATATTCACAAAATTTTATCGGGCTTGGTCCATATTTGCCCCTAGCCCCCATATAAAGCCTCTTTCAGAAAATTAGTTTTTCATCCATAAATTGCTTAAATGTATCGGAACAAGATAAATGCTTTATTATGAAAAATAAATCACATTTAATATTCATAACTGGTGTAGGGTATCATATGGTCGGCCACGCCCGACTATAATTTCTTACTTGTTCTTTTTCTATTTGAAATACTCCGCTACTGACGCTGAACCCGTTGCTAAAGCTCCTCGAAATTGGTTGGTTTTACTCGGTATTGTCCCCACTGTATCTTTAGGATTCATCACAAAATCTCAACTGGATTGAGGCCAATACTTTGGGCGGACCATTTAATCAATTAGAAATTTTGTCAGTTTATTTAGTCATTTTCACGATTTTTGACATGTGCTTTGGGTCACCATCCCCCGGTGTAATTAATTATTCCCCAGTTTAGCTGTTATTATCCACAGAAGCAAAAGGATTAATCATGGTCCGAACTTTGAACTGGACACTGGTAATAATAGAAAAAAAAAGAAAATTTTGTTCGCTAAGCCATTTTTCAAGATTTCTAGTGCGTGCTTTGGGTCGCCATCCAGCTGAAATATTCATTATTTCGAGGAGCTTTGGCATCGGGTTCAGCATGAGTGGGAGAGTATTTCAAAGAGAAAAGGAAACATTTACATCGAAATTCAAAGTAATTTTCAAAAATTTGTAAAATCCGTTAAAATGAACTGAAAAATAATGGTAATGAAAATTTCTTTTTAAATAATTACTACTGAGATCGTTGCATTAAAATGCATTACCATTAGAAAAAATAATGCTAATTAAAAAAAATAATTGTAATTTTTTTCAATTTAATGCTAATGAAATGTTATGGTTAAATTAAGGGAGGTATGTATATACCCTGATCAATAGTCCATCGTATATTATAGCTTTAAGCGTTATCTCAATACCCACATACCCGGGTATGTTTTTAATTTTTGAAGTGATATATATATGTCAAGCAAATTATTGCCAGGACGCCAGTTTCTATCTATCGCCAATTTCTATCTATCCATAAAAAAATTGAATAATATAAGAGTTTCCAAGATGCACGAAATTTTGTATTTAATTCATATATGTTGTGCCAAGCCACCCTTTGAAAGTCCGCCCGTTATGCTCTAAATGTTCACATGAATTTTGAAAGTTCTTCATGTAAAATTTTAAGATTCTAGCTCTAATAGTTTCTCAGATATACGAATTTTTCTATTTGAGCTTGAAGCCACCACATGAAAGTCCAAAATGTTCAGATGAATACTAAACTAATTTGGGCAAAATTTTATAAATCAAGTTCTATTAGTTTCCCAGATAAACGAAATTTTATATTTAATGCATATGGGAGGTGCCAAGTTCCCCATTGAAAGTCCGCCCGTTATGCTCTAAATGTTCACATGAATTTCAAAGTTCTTTATGTAAAATTTTAAGATTCTAGCTCTAATAGTTTCTCAGATATACGAATTTTTCTATTTGATTCATATGGGGGGCTTCAAGACTCCCCAGATGAAAGTCCGTTTTTTTTTTCCTCCAAAATGTTCACATGAATATTTAAGTTCTTTGTACAAAATTTGAAGAATTTAGTTCCATTAGTTTTCCAGATAAACGAATTTTTGCCTTTAATTAATATGGGAGATGCCGCTCCCCTCATGGGTAGTCCGCCAAATTATTACCCAAAATGTTTAGATGGATGTTACAGTTATTCGTGCAAAATTTTAAGATTCTAACTATAATAGTTTCCAAGATAAACGTATTTTTGTAATTAATTTATATGGGAGGTGCCACGCCCCCTAATGCTAGTCCGCCTACTTTTTGTCCTAAATAATAATATTGACACTAAAGTTGCTCCGACAAAATTTGAGGAGTCGAACTGTTATATTATCTAAAATATACGGATTTAATATTTTCTTAATATGGGCGTGGCTCCTCGCCCACTTGAAATTTCAAAATAAAAAGTAGCCTATTACCTATTCCAGACATACAGTTAATAAAATCGGTTCAGCCGTTTAGTAGTCTATAACGTTCAAACATACAAACAAACACACATTCATTTTTATATATATAGATGACTTAGTAAAGTAAAATTATGCTGATTATAATAATTTTATTCTCATACACCGAATCTAGCCACCATATTTGGGTTTCGAGATTTCGTTTTATTTGATTTAGAGTCTAGACAATCGACTGATTTGATCATTCCGTAGTCGTGTTTACTGATTATTCTATAATCTTGACTATAGATCACATATATAAGTGTTAGTCTATAGTCTTGATTATAGATACATACATAAGTATTAGTATAGATATGTCTTATAGTCTTTGTTTATACATCATTCTATGGCCTAGACTATAGATAAGTCTATAATCTTGGCTATAAACGAATGTAGTCTTGACTACAAATTATAATATACGATTGACTATAGGTTAGTCTAAAGCATTGACTATAGATCAGTTTAATGTCTTGATTATTGATCAACTGTAGTCTTGACTAAATTTCATTGTCTTGTCTATGGATCACTGGATCATTGATTACACATCAGTCTTAACTATAGATAGTTCATAGTATTGACGATAGCTCGGTCTAGTCTTGACTGAAGACAGTTTTGATTAAAGTATTGTTAATAGATCAGCCCAAAGACTTATCCTTTTTTCTTTAAAGACCAATTCGATTTCTCAAAAATTGGATAATAATTTTCCAATTGGAACATGTTCAATTAAAAAATCCTAATTTTAAAATTTTCCAAAAAAATAAATAAAAATACATGTAGTTAATTTTTAAAAAATATTTTTAAAAACGTCGGTTTTATTTACACACAATCTCAGGCTTAACTTAGAAGTTCCTGAAAATATAAATTGTAAACAAAAAAAATTAGTTACCCAAATTTGCAGTAAGTAACAACAGTGTGGGTGGGTCAGACACACACACACAAACACTAAACTTACTTGGTGATCAAACCATCCTTCTTGGCCAAACGGACTATGCAATCATCAGATTCACCCATACGACGGATTTCACCGCAGATGGCATAGGTTTTGGAACCATCGGTCATACGGCCAGTTTCGGGATCAACATCAACAAGGTTGATTTGAACGGAAGCGTGATCCTTAGCGTGAATGATTCTGTTGGAGGCAGAGCTATAACACAATAATAAACAAATATTTTACTAACTCAACAACAAATTTATTTTTCATTTTTTTTTTAAATTTTTGTCACAAAAATTACTGCCATAGAAAAACACGTGTTACACTTACCATTTGCGGGGCACGTACAAATCAACATTCTCACCGGCGTCGTTCTCCATTGTGTTTTATCTAAATTTTATATAGAACAACATTTTGTTAATTTATGCACTTTCTCTTTAGTTAATTCATTTACTTTTTTATATATTTAACTTACTTTTTTTGTAGAAATTACAAAATACGTGAACACTCTTACAAGGAGCTAAAAAAGAAAAGAAAGATTTTCAAGGTTGGCAGCACTGCGTACATACAACGTGAAGTTGGCTGCAAGTTGCTGAATTGTGCGGAATAACAATGATGTTAATTGTTATACAGATTAAGTTCAATACGCTAGAATATAAAAACAGTTTAATTTAACTGTAAATTTAATTTCTTTACAGAAATTTTAAAAAGTTAAAATATATAAAAAAACATTGAAACTAAATAAAGTTAAAAAGAAAAGTTTGCTTATAATTATTCAAAAATCAGAATCAACCGTTTGTTTATTTGCAAACACAAGAGCATATTTTGAATATAAACTTTGGGAAAGAACTAAAAAACAACAATATTAAAATAAGGTCGACAATTAAAAAAAAAAAAAATGTAAAAATACAAAAAATTTAACTCTTATAAATTGCAAACATTCGAAAAATTTATTTTTCATAAACTGCAAAAAGTCAAAAATTTTAAATTTCGATTTCCATATAATAAAAATCATTTAAATTCTCCCAAATTAAAGAAAATAACATCAAACTTGCTTCCAAGGGTAACATTTTCACAAAAATTTTTGTATTATTAAAGAATTTTTTTGAAATTAAACATAACTGCAATACGATTTACATTTCCTTAAAAAATCGCTAAAATTCCGTTTAATAACGAAAAGACATTTTAGACATGGTAAAAATTAAAAAATAGCTGAATTAACATTACTGCCAACAGCTGTTATGTTGGTGGTTGCCAGACACATGTTCTTAGTTAAACAGAGAGTTGTTAAAAAAAGTACAAATTATTATTAGTAATCGATAACTTTTTTCTTTAATCTTTGTTAAATCTATTAGTTTTTTAGTCTATAGTGTAGTCTATAGTCTAGTATATAGTATAGTCTAGTACATAGTATAGTCTTTAGTCTAGTCTAGTTTATAGTCTAGCCTATAATCTAGTTTATAGTCTTGTCTATAGTCTAGTCTACAGTCTAGTCTATAGTCTAGTCTATAGTCTAGTCTATAGTCTAGTCTATAGTCTAGTCTATAGTCTAGTCTATAGTCTAGTCTATAGTCTAGTCTATAGTCTAGTCTATAGTCTAGTCTATAGTCTAGTCTATAGTCTAGTCTATAGTCTAGTCTATAGTCTAGTCTATAGTCTAGTCTATAGTCTAGTCTATAGTCTAGTCTATAGTCTAGTCTATAGTCTAGTCTATAGTCTAGTCTATAGTCCAGTCTATAGTCTAGTCTATAGTCTAGTCTATAGTCGAGTCTATAGTCTAGTCCATAGTCGAGTCTATAGTCTAGTCCATAGTCGAGTCTATAGTCTAGTCCATAGTCGAGTCTATAGTCTAGTCTATAGTCTAGTCTATAGTCTAGTCTATAGTCTAGTCTATAGTCTAGTCTATAGTCTAGTCTATAGTCTAGTCTATAGTCTAGTCTATAGTCTAGTCTATCTAGTCTATAGTCTAGTCTATAGTCTAGTCTATAGTCTAGTCTATAGTCTAGTCTATAGTCTAGTCTATAGTCTAGTCTATAGTCTAGTCTATAGTCTAGTCTATAGTCTAGTCTATAGTCTAGTCTATAGTCTAGTCTATAGTCTAGTCTATAGTCTAGTCTATAGTCTAGTCTATAGTCTAGTCTATAAGTCTAGTCTATAGTCTAGTCTATAGTCTAGTCTATAGTCTAGTCTATAGTCTAGTCTATAGTCTAGTCTATAGTCTAGTCTATAGTCTAGTCTATAGTCTAGTCTATAGTCTAGTCTCTAGTCTAGTCTATAGTCTAGTCTATAGTCTAGTCTATAGTCTAGTCTATAGTCTAGTCTATAGTCTAGTCTATAGTCTAGTCTATAGTCTAGTCTATAGTCTAGTCTATAGTCTAGTCTATAGTCTAGTCTAAGTCTAGTCTATAGCTAGTCTATAGTCAGTCTATAGTCTAGTCTATAGTCTAGTCTATAGTCTCGTCTAGTCTAGTCTAGTCTAGTCTATAGTCTAGTCTATAGTCTAGTCTATAGTCTAGTCTATAGTCTAGTCTATAGTCTAGTCTATAGTCTAGTCTATAGTCTAGTCTATAGTCTAGTCTAGTCTTGTCTATAGTCCATAGACTAGTCTATTGCCTAGTAGGATAATCTATATTCCAGTCGTTAGTGTAGTCTACTTTATACTTTTAAAGGTTAAATATAAAGAAAGAATAGCATATGTGAAGGCATTGCATATTTTGCCATTGAAAATTTACTAGTTGGTGCCCTTAAGTTCGCTTTCACTGTCATCTACTGTTGCTTTTTTTCACATATATTTTTCTTTCTATGTGGCATCTCTTTACATTTCCTGTCACATTTTGCTGTATTTTTGTTATTGTGGTTTAAGATTTGTCGTGTTGTGTCAGTCAGTCAGTCATTCCAAAAAATAAATTTTATTTATTTTATACTTTCTAAAGTTATATATCAATCTTTTTTTATTGTGTTTATAGAAATTCGAAAAAGAAAAAAATATACAAAATAAGTGTGCCTAAAAATATGCAACGTTATGGTGAAAAGGTAATTTATGACATATAATGAAATAAAACTATGTTTTTATAAAAAATTTAGCAAAATTATTCTTTTAAAGAAAACTATTATCCATTCCTTTGTTATTTTTAACTTTATATAATTTGCTAAGATTTTAACTCCCCCATAAAAGTATACTTTAAATATTACAGTTTTTCAACAACTTCAAAAATATCGATTTTAGTTTAATGCTCTTTCTTTTCATCAACATTAAATATAATTTTCATACTCCTGCTGCTTTATTTGTGTATTTTTACATTTTTGTTTTTGCTGTTGCTTCAAGGAGTCATAGAACTTTTTGAAAAAAATGTTGCGTTATTTTAGGAGTGTGTGTTGTTGTTTTCTATTTTTTATTTACTCTCGGAGTAAGAGAAAAAAACTGTAGTTGTTGTGTAGTTTATGTTTGTTTTTGCTTTTTCCTTCCATGTCCTTTTTTTATTTATATACTATGTATGTATGTAGACATACACATACGCACTTATATACAACAGCCATAAACATTATTGTGTGGCATGCTTTAAGGCGCAAGAATATGCAATTATGTGTAATTTAAAACAACTTTGGAAAAAACTCAAAGCAGAAAAGGATTTTTTGAACTAGAAATGTGATTTGTTGTAAAAAAACTGACAGAGTGCTGGATTGGCCTGTTTGTATTAATGAATAGAACATTAAAAATGTATGAAATTTTAAACGTAAAAAGGCAATTAGGGGCAAAAATGTTGAGAATTTTAATAAACATGCTTTTCATTTTAGAGTTTTATTTTGAAAACTTTTGAAAAGTCTGCAGTTTAGTCTATAGTCTTAAGTATTGTCTAGTCTATAGTCTAGTCTATAGTCTTGGGCATTGTCTAGTCTATAGTCTTGTCTATATTCTAGTTTATAGTCTAGTCTATAGTCTAGTCTATATTCTAGTCTATAGTCTAGTCTATAGTCTAGTCTATAGTCTAGTCTATAGTCTAGTCTATAGTCTAGTCTATAGTCTAGTCTATAGTCTAGTCTATAGTCTATTCTATAGTCTAGTCTATAGTCTAGTCTATAGTCTAGTCTATAGTCTAGTCTATAGTCTAGTCTATAGTCTAGTCTGTAGTCTAGTCTATAGTCTAGTCTATAGTCTAGTCCGTAGTCTAGTCTATAGTCTAGTCTATAGTCTAGTCTATAGTCTAGTCTGTAGTCTAGTCTATAGTCTAGTCTATAGTCTAGTCTGTAGTCTAGTCTATAGTCTAGTCTATAGTCTAGTCTAAAGTCTAGTCTATAGTCTAGTCTATAGTCTAGTCTATAGTCTAGTCTATAGTCTAGTCTATAGTCTAGTCTATAGTCTAGTCTATAGTCTAGTCTATAGTCTAGTCTATAATCTAGTCTACAGTCTAGTCTATAGTCTAGTCTATAGTCTAGTCTATAGTCTAATCTATAGTCTAATCTATAGTCTAGTCTATAGTGTAGTCTATAGTCAAGTCTATAGTCTAGTCTATAGTCTAGTCTACAGTCTAGTTTACAGTCTAGTCTAGACTATAGTCTAGTCTTGTCTATAGTCTAGTCTATAGTCCAGTCTATAGTCTAGTCTAAAGTCTAGTCTATGGTCTATAGTCTAGTCTATAGTCTAGTCTATAGTCTAGTCTATAGTCTAGTCTATAGTCTAGTCTATAGTCTAGTCTATAGTCTAGTCTATAGTCTAGTCTATAGTCTAGTCTATAGTCTAGTCTATAGTCTAGTCTATAGTCTAGTCTATAGTCTAGACTATAGTCTAGTCTATAGTCTAGTCTATAGTCTAGTCTATAGTCCAATCTATAGTCTAGTCTATAGTCCAGTCTATAGTCCAGTCTATAGTCTAATCTATAGCCTAGTCTATAGTCTAGTCTATAGTCTAGTCTATAGTCTAGTCTATAGTCTAGTCTATAGTAGAGCCTATAGTCTAGTCTATAGTCTAGTCTATAGTCTACTACATAGTCTAGTCGATAGTATAGTCTATAGTCTAGAGTCTGGTATAGTCGATAGTCTAGTCTATAATCTGGTCTATGGTCTAGTCTATAGTCTAATCTATAGTCTAGTCTATAGCCTAGTTTAAAAGTCTAAAAAAGTACTATTTTTGGTAGAAGTTTTGTGGACTATTTTAAGATTTCTATATTCCATGTCTGATTCTTATACTTTTGACAAAAGAAACACTTACAAGTTTCCACAATTCTAATCAAATGTACATTAATGTCATCAATTATTGTAAATCTATAATAATACTTTAAAAAATAAAAAAAACTTTTCATTCTGGTTTTTTTCTACATTTTTCTTTCAAATTAAATATTTTTTTCCGTTAATCTATTTTCACAGTTGCAAACGAAAAAGTGTTGTTCTTGTTTAACAGCAGTTGTTGTTGTCAAACAACATTATTGAAAGTTCTATAATTTTATTTATATTTTTTGTTGTTGTTTTTGATCTCTACAGGCCCATTTTCACTGTCATCGTCATCAAGCCCCCTACCACATTGTAGATTGGATTCCACATCAAACAAGAAAAAATGAAGAAAATTAATAAAAATCATTATCATTATAAGCATAATAATGTTTTATAACGATCATTATTATGATCTAAGAAATAATTTCTTATAGATTTTTAGTAAACCACTAAGAATAGTTGTGATAGTAGTAGATACGTCTTACAAATCATTAACCGCATTGTAGAAATTCTACTCCATTCTACTTTTATTTCATACTTTTGCTTCTGTAGCAGTTGCGGTGACTGTGGCTGCCGCATGTGGAATGATCAGCATGTTTTTATATAATGTGTTTGTGTTGTTGTTGTTGTATATTCCTTAACTAAGTTGTATTTTTCACTTAGTCAACTTAACTGACTGACTGAATGTCTTTTTGGTTTCAACAAAAGTTGGGAAGGTGTATACATGTACTGATTTTGTGCTTTCAGTTCCTTCCTTTATTTAGTTCAGTTCAAGATCAGTTCTAATTTAGATATAGTTCAATTCTAGTTCAGTTCTAGTTCAGTTCTAGTTCAGTTGTAGTTCAGTTGTAGTTCAGTTGTAGTTCAGTTGTAGTTCAGTTGTAGTTCAGTGTAGTTCAGTTGTAGTTCAGTTCTAGTTCAGTTCTAGCTCAGTTCTAGTTCAGTTCTAGTTCAGTTCTAGTTTAGTTCTAGTTCAGTTCTAGTTCAGTTCTAGTTCAGTTCTAGTTCAGTTCTAGTTCAGTTTCTGGTTCAGTTCTAGTTCATTTCTAGTTCAGTTCTAGTTCAGTACTAGTTCAGTTCTAGTTCAGTTCTAGTTCGGTTCTAGTTCAGTTCTAGTTCAGTTCTAGTTCAGTTCTAGTTCAGTTCTAGTTCAGTTCTAGTTCAGTTCTAGTTCAGTTCTAGTTCAGTTCTAGTTCAGTTCTGGTTCAGTTCTAGTTCAGTTCTAGTTCAGTTCTAGTTCAGTTCTAGTTCAGTTCTAGTTCAATTCTAGTTTCAGTTCTAGTTCAGTTCTAGTTCAGTTTCTAGTTCAAGTTCTAGTTCAGTTCTAGTTCAGTTCTAGTTCAGTTCTAGTTCAGTTCTAGTTCAGTTCTAGTTCAGTTCTAGTTCAGTTCTAGTTCAGTTCTAGTTCAGTTCTAGTTCAGTTCTAGTTCAGTTCTAGTTCAGTTCTAGTTCAGTTCTAGTTCAGTTCTAGTTCAGTTCTAGTTCAGTTCTAGTTCAGTTTCTAGTTCAGTTCTAGTTCAGTTCTAGTTCAGTCTAGTTCAGTTCTAGTTCAGTTCTAGTTCAGTTCTAGTTCAGTTCTTAGTTCAGTTCTAGTTCAGTTCTAGTCAGTTTCCTAGTTCAGTTCTAGTTCAGTTCTAGTTCAGTTCTAGTTCAGTTCTAGTTCAGTTCTAGTTCAGTTCTAGTTCAGTTCTAGTTCAGTTCTAGTTCAGTTCTAGTTCAGTTCTAGTTCAGTTCTAGTTCAGTTCTAGTTCAGTTCTAGTTCAGTTCTAGTTCAGTCTAGTTCAGTTCTAGTTCAGTTCTAGTTCAGTTCTAGTTCAGTTCTAGTTCAGTTATAGTTCAGTTCTAGTTCAGTTCTAGTTCAGTTCTAGTTCAGTTCTAGTTCAGTTTAGTTCAGTGTAGTTCAGTTCTAGTTAGTTGTAGTTCAGTTCTAGTTCAGTTCTAGTTCAGTTCTAGTTAGTTCAGTTCAGTTTTAGTAGTTCAGAGTCAGTTCTAGTTCAGTTCTAGTTCAGTTCTAGTTCAGTTCTAGTTCAGTTCTAGTTCAGTTAGTTCAGTTCTAGTTCAGTTCTAGTTCAGTTCTAGTTCAGTTCTAGTTCAGTTCTAGTTCAGTTCTAGTTCAGTTTAGTTCAGTTCTAGTTCAGTTCTAGTTCAGTTCTAGTTCAGTTCTAGTTCAGTTCAGTTCAGTTCTAGTTCAGTTCTAGTTCAGTTCTAGTTCAGTTCTAGTTCAGTTCTAGTTCAGTTCTAGTTCATTCTAGTTCAGTTCTAGTTCAGTTCTAGTTCAGTTCTAGTTCAGTTCTAGTTCAGTTCTAGTTCAGTTCTAGTTCAGTTCTAGTTCAGTTCTAGTTCAGTTCTAGTTCAGTTCTAGTTCAGTTCTAGTTCAGTTCTAGTTCAGTTCTAGTTCAGTTCTAGTTCGTACTGTTCAGTACTAGTTCAGTACTAGTTCAGTTCTAGTTCAGTTCTAGTTCAGCTCTAGTTCAGTTCTAGTTCAGTTTATTCATTTTAGATCAGTTCTAGTTCAGTTCTAGTTCAGTTCTAGTTCAGTTCTAGTCAGTTCTAGTTCAGTTCTAGTTCAGTTCTAGTTCAGTTCTAGTTCAGTTTATTTCAGTTCTAGTTCAGTTCTAGTTCAGTTCTAGTTCATTCTAGTTCAGTTCTAGTTCAGTTCTAGTTCAGTTCTAGTTCAGTTCTAGTTCAGTTCTAGTCAGTTCTAGTTCTAGTTGTTCTAGTTCAGTTCTAGTTCAGTTCTAGTTCAGTTCTAGTTCAGTTCTAGTTCAGTTCTAGTTCAGTTCTAGTTCAGTTCTAGTTCAGTTCTAGTTCAGTTCTAGTTCAGTTCT